ACTTTTTGTTGTGTTCTTATGAGGTTGTATTATTACAGTTACCATTTTGCCAATAAAATGCAAATACACTATTTAGGGCAGAGCTTTGGAGCTACAGTATGAGGTGATAGTGAGGCATGAAAGTCCCATACTGAAGTCTTGAGAGGGGAATTAGCAGTGGAATATTCTGTATTTGTGAGATCTATTGATATTTTGATAACTTTATATTACACATCCTTTTTAGTTATTAGCAAAGCCACAGATGTTGGGAACACACTGTATAGATGGAGAGCAAAGAAGAGTGGTTGACCCCAGTGTTGACTCTGGGTCTCCTGTGGAATGACCTCTAGTCACCAAACAGGACTACAGATAGATTGGTGTTACTCATTTAACTACACTCCACAGCCACCGACCGCTGAATGGGATTCTCGAGAGCTTTGTCCAGTCTGAGGGACGGTGCGTTGGAAGCTGCTGTGAAGTGGTGGATTCTGTCAGATGAGGATATCTGTGCCCTTGTTTACTCTACTAAGAACCCACTCACCGCATTCAGCCAGGAGACAAATGCTGTCTGGAAACTTGGCAAACATGCCGGAAATGAGATTTGTTATCGCCTCTTGACTGTGGTCTCACTGGCATACAAATTCAAAAGGCAGAGAAGTATGTGTGTGTGTTAGTCTGTCTTTCTGTGCTCACACCTGTTTTTCTGCAAACACCCAACAGACAAATTTGGCACTTTTTCCAAGTGTTTTTATGATGTAAATCCATGAGTGCACCCATGTGTGTGTCCTTTGTAAAGCTGCTGTATTGTATCAAACAATCAGACCAGCGCCGTCTCTGTGGACTCTGAGCCTGGATGGATTCATTCTTCATTTAGTAGCTAATATCATATTTTATGCTGAGAGGCAAAGCTCCAAATCCTATCTGTCTCTAGTCACACCCCAGAGCGTCAAAAGCCACACAATGAAGGAATAATTGAATACGTATCAGTATCAATCATGGATGTATGAATACATGCCTGTTATCTGTTTAGATACCTATCATGGAGCTCCAACAATGCTGTGCTCTGAGATCAAGATCCTTTGTAGCTTTTTTTAAATTGTGATCATTAGCTCTCCACCAATATTCCAGCTGACACCTCTGTGTGTGGTCATGACATTTTAGTTATCCCGTTGCAAACAGATTGTGTAATCTGCAAGTCAAACAACATGTAGTTGTTGATATTAAAACTGCTAAATGAAAGTTTTTTCGATACATAGGTTACATATCTATAGCTGCCATTTCAAAATTATTTGAATTATTGTATTTCACTGTCATTATGAACCAAAACACAGAAAGCAAACTATTCTGATGACGATGATGATGAGGCCAGGGATCTGTGCAGGCCAAGTTCTTCCACACCAAAAAAATCTTCCTGTGTGGGCCTGGCTTTGTGCATTATGTTGAAATATGGAAAACCATGCAGTAAAGGATCTAGCTCAAATGGTTCCTCCAAAGTTGGTTTAGACACTGTTGTCTAAAATACTCTAATCAAATCAAATTTTATTTGTATAGCGCCAAATCACAACAAAGGTCATCTCAGGACACTTTACAAACTAAGGTCTAGACCTTACTGTTATCAATATTATTACATAGGGAAAACCCAACAAATCCCCCTGAGCCGCACTTGGCGACAGTGGGGAGGAAAAACTCCCTTTAACAGAAGAAACCTCAGACAGAGCCCGGCTCTTGGTGGGCGGCCTTCTGCCTCGATCGGTTGGGGTGAGTGGATATAAGAGAGAGAAAAGCAGAAAAAATAACAAACAATCAAACACTGGTCATGTTGATGTGGCTGGGGCTTTATCATTGCACACTGTACCATTAAGGGACCTACTCTAAGCCAAACATAAGTAGGTGGTCCAGTGTGTCCACATACATTAGTTCATTCAAAATGTTCCAACATACTGAGGACCTTTCTGTTTTTACTTACAGGATACCACAGGACATGGAATACTGCACTGTTTCTCCACAACTAACAACACACTGACAACACACTGATCTATGCACACAGGGCTGCAGATGTGTTGACACTGCTATTGTGTTGCCTTACAGAGCTGGTGTGGAGTTTAATTGCAGCGAGCCACCAGTCGTGTTGTGAAACCTGTTATTTGCACAGGAGTGCATCCGAAATCAGCAAACAGCACATTACACAGATATTTCCAGTTCATCTAACAGGACTGGCAATTTGAGATTGCAGGTGCAGCTTTGGTTGAGGCACATTCTGTGAAGCATAATTCACCGTGTGATTGGCTTCATTGTTGCAGCACTCTCATTTTTCTCCTGGCTGTTTATGTCTGTCTGTCCACCTGAAACAGCTGGCCGGATGGGTGGATAGATGGATGGATGGATGGATGGATGGATGTCATGGCTCCCCATGAGCGTAGATAAACCCAGGCATGATCAATATGGAGTGAAAGCATGGACAAATACTCACAAGAAAGGTTAACGTTGTGTCTCCCTGTGATTATAGTTTGGATTTCAGACACAGGGCTTGAATACCTTAAACCAGAAAACTAGATATCACTGCTCTTTCTCTCAGACATGTGCACACACAGCTCTGTCTTCACTGTGTCCCTCCTTTTGTTAGTCAGTCTGTGGTGTCTAGTGTGGCACTGCTTGTTTACAACACAGCAGAGTTAATTAGCCATTTTATGGCTGATTTACAGCCAGACAGGCAGACAGAGAAGATGGCCACTGCCTTGTCCTTGTTGCCCACTGAAGGACTTGTCAAAAGGGGGCATTAAACATACAACACATGCACAAACACACACGGTCTGTTTTGTCTGAAATGAACATGTGCATTTGTATTTGTATGCATATACAAATACACATTCACAGGGGTCCATCCAACACAAACACAACACATTCACTAGACTCTAAAACTTAACACAGTGCTGAATATTACATCAACGTTTTATGTCCAGACATAATTCCAGTGTCTAGACTGATTTACCAGGTCACAGCACACACACACACACAAGTACACACAAATCACCCAAATGTGATCCAGCTCACCTTGACCAGTTTGTCTAATGTACCAACCCAAGAGCAGTGGCTTTATGGAAGAAAGGGCTGAGAGAACATTTCATATGACCCAAACTCTCACTGGTCTACTGTAGACTAATCCATAATCAACTAAAATAATATGAAGCTGGATTGTAAGAAAATTCCTCGTCTGTCATCCATGTGACACTTATTAGTTCAGTTTTCTGTTTGGGAAATGACAAAGTGTTACACAGACTGCACTCGTTTCATTCTTCTTTGGACCTAAATGTTTTCTGCTACAAATGTCAGAGCAATTAGCAAAACAGAGAAATAGAGAAATAAAAGCATCTGTTTCTTGAAATGATCTCGACAGAACAGAAGTTTCATGGTTTTTAATTTAGTTGTACTGTTATAAAACCTGAGAGGAAAGAAAGAGTATAGGTTGGATGTTCAGGTGCTCAGTGTGTCTTGTGGTCACCAGAGACTGTTGCTCGAATTACGTCTAAAGGTCTAAAAATGTTTAAAGGGGATATATTACCTAAGGCTCCCAGAACACAGATCCCCCCTCCAGCACACACACACACTCTCATCTAAGCTGACATCAGCAGCAGGCTAACAGCAATGCTAGGAAGCACACACTGTCAACTGAGCAGTGTTAGTGTAGCAGTGACAGCTAACAAGAGAAGACATCACAGAGCACGGTGGCGTGCTAGCACAGCCTGACTGGGCTGTTGTAGCTACAGGTGTTATATTCACTCATGCTTAAAGAGTCTGACATCGGCAAGCGAGCAGCCAACAGCATGCTGGCACAGCACCTGACAGCTAGTTAATGTCAAGGTGCAGCCTTCTCAGCAACAGGAGAGGACGTGGGATATGGGAGGTGCTTCAGTTTCAGGAGATGTGTAGGAGTGCTTTGCTTTTTTTTTTTTTTTTTCTTCTCTCTCTTTAGTTCAGTTTCTCTTTTCTGTGATAGTTCTTTTTTCACTACTTGACCAATAAGTTGCTGTGGGGTGTTCCCATGCTGATCTGTTCACGTTATGAAGAATCATCTCAGGCTGTAAACGTCACAGTCTGCAGCCCAGATTCTCCCTTTGCCTTCCCAGTATCGGTTTTACCAATCACTGGGCAGATTCTCTGCCGAAACAAAACGCAACATACTGATGATTAAAACCTGGCACATGACTGGCCTGAAATGAGTTTGTTTTGTGTGAAACAGGTGGCTACCCCCAAGCTAAATGCAGAAACAAAACCCCATTAACATGTTGCTAGTGAGGTGGAAAAAGCTGGGAAACGAGGCTTTTGGTGGAGAGTGGAGGCTGGATAGGACTGCAGTCAGCATGCTGTGTTTTTGTGCTAATACTCTTCCAGGTATAGAAACACCTACTGTGCATGTGTAGTTTGTCTTTGTGAGAGTGATGCCGGGTAAGTCCCCGATTTGTTTTTCAGTTTTTTTCATGTACATTATCTGTTTGTGTTTTCAGTCGGGCGTTTGGACCTCATGCTGATAAAAGCTTTGCCTTCTGCCTTTGTTCATCTGACATCTCCTCGTTAATGAAGTTGCCCCCCACCGACTCCCCCATCCCCCAGCACCTGCCAATCCCCACTCCTCTTTGCCTCCCCCTGCACATCCACCAGCCACTCTGCTTTGATCTCTGCTCCCCACTTTTCCCCATGCCTCCTCCTCTTCAACCCTGTTTTCTCCTTCCATCCTTTTAACCTTGTTTACTTCCTTAATCAGAAATGGTTGTCAGGTAGAAAAGCAAACATGTACCATTTACACTCTCCCCTCCAAGCAGTTATTACTGTTACGATGCCCTTGAGCATGGCAATTAACACCATGTTGGACCTAGCAGAGCTGCTCAGCAACCATGAAAAGGGGACTGTGGTCCACCCATGAACAGTCAACATTGCTTCACGGTGTAGATAAACACTACTCTGTCAAAACTTTAGCTCAAAGTAAAACGTTAAGCTAAAAAACACTGATCTGTCTCCCTCCACAGCAGCTGATGAGAGAGCGACAGCAGATGGCCAGTCGTCCCTTTGCTTCGGTTGCTGTTGCGCTGGAGGTGGGCGGTGACCAAGAGGAGCTGCTACAGGTCAGCAAAAGACACAAACATGGATGCACACTGATGATAACACAACCAAAGAAGGCACAAACACAAGGGGCGTCACAATGTGTTACGAAAACAGCACACACAACAAGCATTAAAGGCTGTGTGTGCACTGGCAACACTTGCAAGTTTAGACTCTGAGACATCCTACCATTAAAACTGACACACAAGCATATAAACACTGCTTTCTCTGACCTTTTGCTGTGACTGGTATCATGGCCCTGCAGCAGGTGTGTGATTGTGTATTTGTATGAGGACACACAACAGGATGCTGACACTGTAAACAAACTGGCAGTTGAAAAAAGTTAGGTTTATGACACCCTGTGCAACCACACAAGTGTTTTGAGTTATCTTAGCCAATAAGAGCCCTTCTCAGATTCATGATGAGTGGGAATCATGCTTGTAAAAACAATGAAGACAAAAATCACCCTGCCATAACACAAGAGTGAGCCGTCAATCAAAAATCTAAAGATGACAATATGTTCACCAGCACTTTCTCTTTGAGATCAATAAAGTTTTTTTTTTTTAATTTGAATACAAGAGACAAGGCACAGTACAAGGGGTGACTTGGAGTGAATGTTGTGGTTTGTCAAAATGGCAGAGACTCATAAAAACAGTCTGACATCATATGGTTTGCTTGGATTACTCAGAGTGCAGTGCACTAAGTCAACATGAACCCTCGTCAAGAAAGAAAAGCAGTGCCTACACCATTATTTCTTGATTAACCATAATTACACAGCACAGGGAAATTGGAAATGTGTTCCTTTTTTTAATAAGGCCAACATTTGGTATAATCAGACTCTTTCCAGGCATGTGGTAAATTGTAGCAGGCTGATCTGCAGCTCAGCTTTGTTGATAAAAAAAGTAAGGGACACATGCTCACATGGATCACAGTGTCTTTGTTGGATGTACCGTCAGGCTTGGTGGTCTGCAAGGAAACTAAATGAAAATATGTTGTGTTTATGAACATGTGCTGAGCAGGTGAACACACAGTGCTGCTCACTTCAATAGCATCCACATTACAGTGCAGGGACGCACTGACATCAACAAGATGGTAGGCAGGGGACAGAGACCACATCTGTTTCAACAGCCCTTTATTCACTTAGCTGTCTTTCACCCACCAACCCTGAAGGGTCCTCCAGAGGCAATGCGGCTGATGGAGTGTTGGCCCTGAGAGAGGTAGCTGGCCCTCTGCTCACTGAGATCACAGAAGACATGATGCAACATACAGCAGTGCTTTTGGAGAAATGGTAACTGCCAGATCAGGCATGCCCTTCTCCTGAGGGGGAGATGCTGAAAGTTGATCAAATGGTGGTGTCACCTCTGTTCTGTAATTGACACACACATGCAGGGTTTAGATAAACAGAAGAGGGTGTCACTATGTGTGTTGTTTCATGAATAGCAAGTGGGTCTCAGTGTCCAGCATACCAATCAGACATGACGAAGTGGGATAATGTGATTAAGAAGGCTTACTGATTAGTTTTGGTGGCTCCTTCTAGTAGTAATGGGTGGAATCGTTTTGCGGAGTGTGAATTAAGGTTCAGGAAACAGCTGAGTGGAATATACTAATGTGACTGACCTTGGCTTGATGAGCTCATTTCAACATATTAATAATCCTGATGTAAGCGATATATTATGGGAAACGAAGTCTCACCCCCTCCCCAAACAAAGCCCCAGTGGCACCTGGTGACAGATTTAGCAGATTTGCTGTGTTCAAGAGGTCAAGCAGTCAGAATGGAAACCAGGAGAACAATAACCCTCATTTATCAAACATGCAAACAAATGTGCACAGAAAACACACTGTTCAAAACAAACTCCTCTGAGCCGTCCTTCTTTATGACAGTCAGCGTTGTGCTGGCCAGGTAACGCTGTGCACATGCTGAAATGCATCTGATTCAAATATAACAACTGACCCTGTTGATAGGTTCAGCCTTCCCTTTTCAGCTCAGACAGATCCTGTTGATTCACTTCAAATAAGTTCATCATTTGAGATTCTATAAAAAAGAGCAGGACACACAAATCCTGTGTCCTGCTGTCTGCTAACATTAAGTCCACCTTCACATAGCTCTCCTCCTGATTAAGGCTTCACCTCCTCACACAGTTTAAGCTGCAGGTTGTAGAGACAATGGTATGGAAAGGTATCTACATATGATGTTTAATTAGATTCAGCTCTGTTCTGACCAGTTCGGACTTGGCTCAGTTCAGTTTGGTTCATGTGCGTGTTGAAACCTCGGGAGTACCTCCTCTTATCTCTGCCTCTGCCTGGTTTCCATTTCATTCTTGAAGGTAAGAGACAATGGAGCAGAACACTATCTTCACACTGAGGTTAATTACACAACATCTGGTTCATAGTTAAGCATGCAGCTTAGCATAATTGTGTAATGAATGAGGGAGAAGGAACATTTCCATGCTGCCCTGCTATTTTATGTTGTCACGCTTATGCAGAGCAACAGAGTATAGTTAAACAAATAGAGTCATCATCACCCCATTTCACGCCATGTTTAGACAGCGAGCAAGGAACACAACACCTGTTGTTTTCATGCTCACACAGTGACTTGGTCTGCACAGCAGAGCTGGGAAGGTCAGTGAATTAGACAAGGAAGTTATAACTGCATGGAAAAGAGTGCAGTGTGATTAGACAGAGGATTAATGCATCACAAATGGCTGGATTGTGCTTTTTAATAGACATTTATATTATACATTTTCCATGGCAGACATATTCCATCTTCCAGTTTTCTTTCAATAGATATAAACAGCTAAATATGGAAAAGCCCTTTCTTTTCAATATTCACATCTGAGGAGACAATATACAAAGACTGACAATTAAAAAAAGGGAAAACACCTCTTACAAGATTAGTTTATCACCCATAAGAGTATTTGCACCATCATCCTATTTTTCAAAAGTTTCCAAAAAATTGTTGTAGTTCCCATTATCTAGACACTTGTGAATTTTATTTATTTATTGTGGAAATGCTCAGCCTACCATGTAATCTTAGGGTGAACAAAACCCTGGTGCTGCACCCTGCAGGAGGGCACCTGAGCCTGCCCTGGTGCTCCTGAGTTAAATTATTTAAACGCACTGCATACAACTTCCTTGGAGTCTAGATTTGCACGTATTAGTAATACTATTATTTAACCTCGTTAACTCCGCCAGGACGCGCACGTCCTCTACCTGTCATTTTGTGACCTCGCTACGTCACAGCCCTTTAACAAACATGGACACACCTGGTATCAATGAACTCTGTGAAGTCTGCTGAAACAGAAAGAGCATCCATTAAAATGTATCATAAACATAACTGCCAACTGAGTGCTGTGAAATAGGAGTCAAAACATGCTGATGGGTATTATCACCAAAGACGCAAATGTTGGCTCTTACTCTGGATGCTCGCCATGTCCTAGCACAACCAGAAACAGGTAAGCTTTCTACTATCAACGTACATTTTGTCTCGATATGTCCCCACAAACAAGCGGCCATAATTTCCGATTTTCATGCGCATGTGTTGTCTAGTTGTGTGTGTGAGCTGAGACCTGTGAAATAATGTTTGTTACCGTTAGGCTAGCTTCTTAGCACCTGTTTTTATTCGGCCCTGGCCGTTTTGTGACTTGAAGCTTCAGGAAACGTTGGTGCCGAGAACGTACACTTCATCAGGTTATGTTTGGCTGTTAAACTATAGCTATGTAGACTAAGGTTTCTGTCAGTGTAAAGCCGAGATTCTGCAGTTTCTGACAAGCTACGGGACATGCTGATTGACCCATGTGAAGGCGCAGTACCGCGCGTAAAGGTGCGCTCCAGCGATATTACGCACATACAGCCATGCGTCACCGCGCGTAAACGTGCGCTCCAGCGATATTACGCACATACAGTAGAAGCCTTGTTAGTGTATTTGTATGAACTGTTGGAGCTCTGGTGGTGCTAAATGTAGTTTTTATCCACTATCACGCTTTGGCTGAAAAAGTGTCATAAGTTTTAGTTTTTGTGTAAGTGATTTATATGTGAAGTGGCACGTAGATTGTTTACCATGTTCAGTATGGTCATTAGCCACATATGCAACGCTGGCTTCAAGAAATTATATGTATGCAGTTATTCCACCCTGATTGTTTCCCCCATCAAAATAATGAGGACTTATTGTTAATCAACATATCAAACTGCAAAATATTATCAGTGATACAGGCAATACATTAAATTTGGTTTCCTACCGCTCATTCAGTACAGTACTAGCAGCTACTGAATGAATGTTGTATGGACATGTTTAGCTACAGAAACGTCTTGTACTTTGTATACACTTCAGACAAACATTAGAACAGTGTTGATAGCACATACAGACATTATACTCTCTGATTATATGTCATCTTTAATGACATTGTGTTGTCATGTGAGTAAACGGTGTCCCCCTGGAGTTTCTTTTCAGAAGCTACAGTCTGCAGCAGGTGTTCAAACCAGTGGTGCAAAGTAACTAAGTACTTTTATTCAAGTACTGTACTTAAGTCCAATTTTGAGGTGTCTTTACTTGTTTACTTGTTTTAATTTTCTGTCACTTCACTCTCTTAGAGGAAAATATTGTTTTTTTTTACTCCACTGAATTTATTTTATAACTTTAGTTACTTTACAGAACCAGATTAATACAAAATTTAATCTTTAAATTTAAGACTTTATTGATCTCCAGTGAAAGAGTCACAGGCTACCCAGCAGAAAACAATGCATCAGTACAGTAATTAGAATCCAATACTGTGATATACGTTAATGGTAAATGTGCCATTCTGCATAAGGAGCACTTTTACTTTTGGTACTTTAAGTATATTTTGATGCTCTTACTTAAGTAACATTTTGAATGGAGGACCTTTACTTGTAACAGAGTATTTTATCACCGTGGTTTTGCTACTTTTACTAAAGTTAGAGATCTGAATATTCTTCAACCACTACTTCAAACCACGGTCTTTTCCCTTCTGTCTACGTAAGAACAAACAATCTTAGGATCTGTCACAAA